TTTACGGGCCTCATAGACTACATTCTCTGGATAAAATTGGCGCTTTAATTCCTTTTTAAAATCATCCCAACTATCTATCCTACAAGCACCATTTTCTATGTCAGCGTGCTTACGTCGCCACCATAGAGCCGCGGTGTCCGTAAGATACATAGTTGAGGTACGTACCTTAATTGCCTCATCAAGAATGTTCATGCCCTCGAAGTATACCTCCAACCGCCATAGGAAGTCATCAAGTTCCTTCGCGTCCCGTTTGCCATCAAACTCTTTTGGCTTAGGGTAGTCGACCCTTGGAGCTGCCACAACTGTGCTTGTTCCCGCACTACTTGAGGCCTTTTTGCACACATCAAGGCCCCTTTGCAAATCATCGCAAAGCTTGTCCACCTGGTTCTAGATCGCCGTGATAGCATCCATCACTTTGATCTCCAACCTCGTTAACTCATTCCTTAGAGAACCTTGGTCCTCCTTGATAGCATCAAATTGTTCCAAGGTATGGGACTCTAAGGTCGAGAGTAAATTCTCCACCGTCTCAATGCATTCCCTCATATTAACGAAAACTTCTTCGAGTGGCCAGACAGGCGGAGCCGGTGGGCGACTTCTGCTCCGACCATGCTTAGCCTTCTTACCGGTAGTAGAAGGTTCTGTCTCTCGCCCCTATCTTCATGTTCCATCTCTGTGGTACCAGAACCCGCAACCTCTCGATCCGCCATGCCAACGGTAGTAAGTGAGCCGAACTCAAGCTCTGATACCAACTGTCACGGACCTCCCGTTAGGCCCTTGAGGTTCCAGGGACCCCCAAGGCAGCCTACCCCACACATGCGACCGGCAAGTTTAGATATGCAACATAAGCACAACATAGAGATAGAAAGCATGCCATTCAAACCTGTTAAAGGGATATCGTCAGTACATTTTCAAGAAATATAGCAATAAACCCGCAATATGCTATCTTGCCATGCCACATGAGTAGGGAAGTTCTCTAAGTCCGTGACTTGGTGCTCGAAAGTTTAAGCAAACCACATTTTTTTAAAGATTACGAGATAATTTAAAAAAGATAAAAGTAACTTTTGTCGTTAGAAATTAATTGTATAATTATAATAAAATATTTTTGATATTGAATACTCCTTTTCATTTATTGGTGAAATGTGTCCTTGAATTCAATTATTTTCTCCCTTTGTGGTTGCCATAAAACTTTGCTTTATGAAAGAGGTGGAGACTGGGGAGTATCTCCTCAAATTTACAATAAATTTGATATGTCAAAATCAACATTTTTAATTTCCAAAAATACCCCTACTTTATTGAGCCCAAATGATTTTTTGTCATGCATCAAAATTTGTCTCATTGCCTACATTTAAATAGATTTGAATGCAATTCATATATGAATACAATTTTTGCTATTTGTAAATGGTAGACCAATGTACAGCTCCCTCACAAGAGAGGGCGCATACTCAATAAAAAAATCGTGGATCCTTCTCTTATGAGTTGGACTATACACCAGTATGTACACTTAGCAAAACTCACGTGAATATGGCTAAAGTTATATGTACATAACATGACATATCAAAGCAATTTCAAGGCACGATGGACCGCGTCATTACAAACTATTTTTCTACCAACTAATGATTAAATGCCACTCAGATATTATGTACACCGGGTGTACATGTAAAATAATTCATATATGAATATTTACCATCACCATTCGATAATTAGAATAATTGAATATGGCTTAAGCTACATGTACATATCATGACGTACCAAAGAAATTTCAAGGCACGATGGATCATTGTCATTATGACCAAGCCGACTTTTTTCCTGTGTCAACCACCATGGCCAAGGCTTAGCAACTGCAACTTATTTGGACAAGTCATACACTTGACCTCTATGTCATACACTTATTCGAGATGCTTTCCACGGGCAACTCATAAATTAGATCCTGATGTTTGCATGGGCCTCCAAGCACTTAAAAATTGTCAACATCATCTTACTTTCATGGTAGCATCGCAACCGGATCCCATAGATGCTTGCCCTGCGTCACTCTCGACAAGTCACATGCTCCACCTAACCACCAAATTTCATCAATAAATAAGGGTTTTTGTACAACAAAAGAGGCTTCTAGAATTGTCTATCCTCACCCTTGACATGTACTCTCCGTGCACACACACTTCGTAAATATAATATCCATATGTAGCTCGTTGGAATCGTTACTCCAACCATTCATCAGGTGAACTGATTTTATAATTAAAAAACATTAACTAGGATTTGCTATTAAATTCTTGTTTAAGCCTCATTCTATAAAAATTCGTTTTTAACCACAAATTCACGAAAAATTAATATTACAAAATATATTTTCTTAAATCAATATGTGCAGAAAGACCCATATTATTTGGAGGGTAAAAAAGGAAAGCACATATGGTCCCAAGAAAACCCACGGTCGGTCAGTAAAGATGTTTTGGTGTACTCTTAAAGGCAGCCCCGTTCAAAATTTGTGAGGAAAAATTGAACAGCCATCCTACAAGTACAAAAAAATTTGATATAAAAACTTTGACAGATAACACATGTCATGACAAGAATTGATTGGAAGAGGGGGAAAAAAAAAAGTTAATCTGCTGCCACGGCAATTTCCATGAGAAGTGAGAACCATGTTGAGAATTCCCAGCTTTTTCCAAAATTAAATCGATGGCCAAGGGAAAAAACAGATGTAACGCATCACTGACAATTTACAGGGGCTGAGGGGTGGGGCGATTATGGCAGAATAATGTTCAGTCCCTATCAAACTCGTCTCTTTGTGCCGTGAAACCCGGACTACAGTCCCCCCCTTCACCATGCCCAGTACTAAGTACTGCTCTTGGGAACCCACCCTCATAATCATGACTGGATGGATCACAATTGAGCCACTATTTGTCATCTATTTTATCAAATATTATTTGTTACAATAAATAATTTTCACCACATATTCACTCAATAAAATATTCTATACACAAACTAATAAAATTACTTTACTTTTCAACCACATATTCACCAAAAAATACTATTCAAAACTATATTTCTTATCTCAAAATGGGAGACAAACAAACACTGAGTATGAATTTTGGTACGTGCACACTTCTTTGTACAGCCCCTCACAATAGGCTTACGGATTAACACTCTCTCCTAGGTTTCGAGCACAAGATGGGAATCTTTATGCAACACTAATACTTTTGGCTTCTGGAATTTTTTGTGGGTTCGTCTTAGAATTACATAAAAATGATGAATTTGATTGGAATTACTCTAAATTATGACTATTCAAATACTTCTTTTTCCAAGCTCTGTTTTAAGAGTGAATTATCTATCCTCTGTTTGGTAGGGTTTAATCAGTACCAAATATGGTCTAATTTGTTTGGAAACATGAATTTACGATGCCAAGAGCACAGGTAGAAACTGAACATACTGGGGAATTGGTTTAGCTGCAAAAAGTTACAGTCTTGGTATTAATGTTGTCGACACTGAAAGGTGAAAGGTGTGGTAGTGTAGTCACGTCAATGTACAGTTTGCAGAAAATGTGAAAATGAATCAGAAAAAGAAAAAGTATGCAGTGAAATATCACATTTTGCGATGATGATGATGATAGTTGCATATTCATTTCTCATATTCTTGATTCTTCCCACATCGTTGACTTCAAACTCCAAACACCCTTTTTGGTCCTTCACAAATCACCCTTGTGCTGTATGCACACATGATACGGACAAAAACTCATAGTTCTATTATAAGGACCGTGCTACTTGCTGTTCAAGCAGGGGCGCCAAGTGGGCCTACGTTTGAGATTAGTTTTTACCCCTCTTTCATTTGGACTCGCGTGATCCTCTTATTCTTTTCCAGCTCTCCTGTCAGATCCCAATTTTTTGTTTTGGCCTTCAGCGGGGGAAAAACCTCATTTCAGAGATTGCATTTGCATTTTCTTGGAAAATAAGAAATGGGCTGTGGCAAAAACTCCATTTCTTGAATTTTACTGTAAGCTTGTTATTTTTTAGAATTCTAGAAGATTTTCTCTCTCTCAAGTGCTGTAATTGTGTTAAAGTCCTTAACTGTTGACAAATCTTTTTCAGACAGCTTTTGCATACGAGAACATTTTCTGCTTCTTTGCAATTTTTTCCTTCTTCACTCCTTATAAAAAGGTTGAAGATAAGAAAAATAGATTGTCAAGAATTCTATCTGGTCTGTTTCATGTTTATTTTTGCCTAAAAATTGGTTTCAACCTTGAACATGGAAATGAACTGGTAAAAATGTGCGTCTTGTAATGTGCAATTTCATAGCCAGTAACCAATTCTATACATGTATTAGAAGAAATAGCTCTTGAATCCAGAATTATGTGTACAATCATTCTATACTTCTGTTTTGCGTATCTTATTGTTTAGCGATTCTTGAAATTCTTCGTGAAATTTGGATTCCATTGTTTATTCTTTAGCCAGTGAAGTTGATTAGTGTAAATTCAGATGATGGCTTGCAACCGCTTTGCTCAATCCCAATATTCTTTTCTGATTTCTTTCAATACTAGCAGTTCACAGCAATTCCATATAGTTGCATAAATTTGTTCTTTGTAGGTTCTCAATTCTTGTGGATTTTATCTCCCCCCTTTCTTGCATCCCCTGTTTGATGCATTTATCCTTGTGTTGATGGAAATTCAGCCATATTCAGCTAATAATTCATTGGTAGTTCTATTTGTCTATAAAATTGTGTACCTGGATCAAATAAACTTGGATGTGAATAGGTTAGCATATAGATTAATCGCAATTCTCTCTCAATCGCCCTTGGATGAGGGGTTTCTAATCGATTATAATAACTGTGTGTTTGATCCTCTGCAACGTTAATAGGCCTGATTTCCTATATATTTCAGATGCATTATGAAGAGCTTGAGGTTATGGGTAGAGGTGTTCGCACTGGCAAATGAAGGAACGGCAGAGGTGGCGACCTGAAGAGGATGCTCTACTGCGTGCATATGTGAAGCAATATGGCCCAAGAGAATGGCACCTTGTCTCAGAGCGGATGAACGAGCCCCTAAACAGGGACGCTAAATCCTGTTTGGAAAGGTGGAAGAACTATCTTAAACCTGACATCAAGAAAGGATCTCTTACAGAAGAAGAGCAGCGTCTTGTTATCCATCTTCAGGCGAAGCACGGAAACAAGTGGAAGAAAATCGCGGCTGAAGTTCCAGGGCGAACTGCCAAGAGACTTGGGAAGTGGTGGGAAGTTTTTAAAGAAAAACAGCAACGAGAACAAAAGGAGAATAACAAGATTATAGATCCACTTGAAGAGGGAAAATACGACCATATTTTGGAGACATTTGCCGAGAAGCTTGTGAAAGAGCGTTCTGGCCCAGGAATCGTTATGGCTACTTCAAATGTGGGGTTTCTTCATACAGATGCTCGTGCCCCTTCTCCTCCAATACTTCCTCCTTGGCTAGCTAGTTCTAGCACAATCACAACTGTCGGGCCACCATCCCCATCGGTGACCTTAAGTCTCTCGACCTCAACGATACCATCTGCACACGCAATTCCCTGGTTACAGCCCGATAGAGGGCCTAATATTGTCCCTCACGGTCCAAGTATTTTGCCATCTCTAGGAATTGCTCCTTTGGCCGGAGAGAACCAATTGGTTTCTGAACTCTTGGACTGTTGTCGAGAACTGCAAGAAGGGCATCGTGTTTTGGCGGCTCATCAGAAAGAAACCGCCTGGAGATTGAAAAGGGTGGAATTGCAGTTAGAATCAAAGAAAGCATGCCGGAGGAGGGAGAAAATGGAAGACATAGAAGCAAAGATAAGAGCTCTTAGAGAAGAGCAGAAGGCCGCTCTAGATTACATTGAAGCTGAATATAGGGAACAATTAGCAGGCTTGAGGAGGGAAGCAGAAGCAAAAGAACAGAAACTGGCTGACCAGTGGGCTGCAAAGCATTTTCGTCTAACAAAGTTTCTCAATCAGATGGGCGGTGGATCATAGTCGAGCCTCATGGCCGGTGAAGTAGCTCAGTGGGCTGCCAAGCATTTTCGTCTAACAAAGTTTCTCAAGCAGATGGTGGATAGATCAATAGTCGAGTCTTGTTGGCTGTAAAGTAGCTTAATTCTCATCGCCTTACTCGTGCCTGCCACGGCCGAACAGATATTACGTCTTTTTCTTGGTCAACTATAGAATAATGCCGTTTTTTGTCAATCGCATGTTAAGCCGACTAAGACTCCTGAAGGCATCTATCTACATATCTTCAATGTGCATGGACTGATTACTTAGGCTTTCAACTGAGCTAAATTTTCTGCTCCTGTGTCACTCAACTTGCTTGAAAGAAAAGCTTCCTACAAATTGCAATGTTGAGAATGATTGAACAGAGTATTAAGTGGCATCTTCTGATTTTCAGTCTTTATAGTGTCTATTTTCAGACAGCAACATGGTGAAGAAGATGGTTGAGTTTAGATTAGAAATTGACAGAATTGATTACTAGAGTTCCATTCTCTCTTCATGCAAATCTTTGGAGTTACGTTCAATGAATCATTATTCCAAAACTTATTTTCTCCAATAAAATTGGTTGTCAAACGGGGGCTTATAAATAAATACAACTCAGTAGTTCATAAGTGAACAGTATTTATGAGACTCAAAACTAAAAGTTGGTTCAGAGTGTTTATAAACCTGAGCCAAACATTTCAATAGGTTTTGAAATAATACATTCTCTAGTTACAAATTCCGACTGTTATAGAGAGACCAACCAGAAATGTATGTAATTGCTGAAACTGCATTTCTGAGAAACTGTCTCAAGTCGATGACAAAATCCCAGTTTGATTTTATTGCAGTGGCAGGGTGAGAAACTGAAGAAAGGAGATCGAGTTAAAACAGCTGGATTTTCATGACAAGCTCTTCCAAAATTTGTACCATGAGATTTTGGGCGCACTGATTTCTTTTCTTTTTCTCCTATAATTTTTTGGGTAATGGAACAATGAATAATTTCAAATTTTAGTCGGTGGATTCTCCCTAACATTCATGATACAACTGTCGCGACTTCTGAAAGGACTGCTGCGGGCCACACCTAAAAGTAATTTGGCCATACCACCAGCAAAAAGTAATTTCCAAAGACTACTTTTCAGCAAATTTCAAAAACAATCAGAGCGCACCAGCTTTAACAAATTTTGTACTTGACAGACGAAATTTTGCATACATGCTCCAATTAGTCTGGCAATTATTGCAGTACAAAGCCCCAACTTGGACACGACTAATTATGGGCTCATTAGACACAGAAGCAGGAAGGAGGATGTCTCCAAGGCTCAACATATCGCAATAGATCAGCAATAGTAATAAAGACCAGGATTCTTACCTTAAACACGCACTTGTATATATTCATCAGTTAACAGACCTCAAATAACAAGGTAATACTTGCAGCTAACAGACCTAGCACAAGTTCTTCCTTGCAAAATCATCCTTATAATAAGATGGATTGTATGATGAAGTCATCCAAAGCTGGGATTTTCAGTTGATTTGCAGGTGTTCTTAATTTCAAATTTGGCAAAAACTGCAAATAACAGGAGCAGGCAATGTAGAAATCATAAGGTGCAAGTCATTCACAGACCATAATGCATTCAGGGAATGTTTGGTACATAGAAGTTGACAAGATCAGACAGTAATGAATAAATCTACACTACTTATTCTTTAATAAATACTGTCCAATACTTTCCAATCTACCTGACAAAAAAACTTTCCAGTGATTATGCTGGAACAATATCTGGTTCAAGTGGTGGTGATCCCTCATCCTGTACAGGCTTGCCAGTAGGAGTATCTTTCGTTTCTTTATCTTCTACAAACCCTTCCTTGAACCTATCATAATTTGTAGGTTCACTACTCTTAAAGGGACGCTCACCGAGTACTCTGACCAAGTCTTCTTGATGTAAGACCTCCTTCTCCAGTAACAATTCAGCAATTTCTGCTACATGCTCTTTATGTTCCTTGATTAGCTGTAAAGTGCGGCCATATGCCTTAGCTACCCATTCTCTTACTTCACTGTCAATTATAGCAGCAGTCTTGCTGCTGTATGGCTTGGTCATCTCCATTGCATCGTCCCTTTGAGGAAAAGAAAGAAGACCAACTTTGTCACTGAAACCGTACACCGCCACTTGGGCATAGGTCATCTTCGTGACTTTCTCCAAATCATTTTGGGCTCCCGTTGAGATCTTCCCGATCAAAACCTTCACGAAATAGAAATTTGATCACCACTTATTCCCAACTTTTACTAGCCAGAGGTGGGAGTTCAAAACCACTAAATGAAATGCAGACTGAGAAATGAAGGAAAAAGAAAAGGATGCAGATTACAAGTTCCACGAGACTAACATGAACTGCTGCCTGTGGTCCCAAAAACTCCTTAACAAGGAAATGATTCTGTAAAATGGGACAGGAATCATACTGACTTGTTTGAGTATTTATTAACAGAGGCTTCTCATATGAAATTTATACACTGCAAAGAAACCTATTGATAAAGGACCCCAAATGTATAGCCTTTCAAAAAAAATCTGCAAAATGTATTTATTCAAAATATTAAAAATAAAAATCAGGAGGCCAGCTTAACCGTGAACTTCATTCATGACAGTGAATCCTGAATAAGGGAGTTGATGCCAATGCAGTTCCAATTGTTGTCTAAGTAAATATACATCAAAGCATAAGGTACATAGTTTCTATGCCATGACTGACAGCTCTCGTAACAAAGAAATTCCTCTTGCATAGGCACTCACTCACTCCCCTAAAATGAGCTTGGGAATCATATATTGTAGATTTAATAAATTTTAATGGACCTACATCATCTTCGGTACCAATATAACACACTTCGTGCAGGCTTCATAAAGATTATCATCTTACAATTCAAGAGATGGCCTCTTTAACAGCTTTCTTAGTGATCAAATTGTAAAATATACAGATTTCGAACTTGCAAATTAGCACATTTATATCCACATATACATACAGCTGCTTTTATATAATGCAGATTTAAAAATTTCCATGCCTTTCTTGGTTGGACCAGGTGAAATTGACTTCTCCGTAAGTAAAACTGTTGACAAGAATTTGTAACTCAATAACTCTAATGCAGAAAGGAGGAAGTGCATTCACCTGTTCCGCTGCTCGCCCACCAAGTGTCATGCATGTCATATCAAACAGCTGCTCTTTGGTCATCAAAAGATCTTCATTTGGAACATACAGAGCAAAACCAAGAGCTGCAGTACCACGAGGAACAATTGTGACTTTGAGCAATGGTTCGGCATGCTCCAAAAACCAACCAGCAACAGCATGGCCAGATTCATGGTAAGCAACGGTTCGACGCTCCAGCTTGCTTATGACCTGCAGAAGAGTATGGTTCAATATCATCGCAAATCACATTCAAACCATTGATCACGACTTAAAGCACGCCTCGTGCCATTTTCTGTTGTGCACGTAACACTTCTATTCTCAATTTCTCTTTGTACCAGAAAAATAGAATTCATAATTTTTCTTCTACCATAATAAACCAGTTCTCATCCAGTTTGTCCAAAATGATTTTTCCTATTAACATGAATCAGTTGAAAAAAGCCAAATGTATAGATTGTAGTTGTAGAATCACTCTTAAAAATGTGTTTAGCCAGAATTAATGACTAGTCCTTGAAAAGTTCAAGCAGCCGTAAACTCAAATTTAAAAGATGAAAAAACTCATGTTGATCATTATTCTAATTTACTCAAATCATTAATTTGCCAATCAAAACTAGATAACCACAAATCAATTTGAAGTATGGAACAGCAAAACATGGTGAAGAATAATGTTAATCCAAATGAAATGAACAGATACCTTGTTCTTCTTCTCCAGACCCCCAATAACCCGATCTATAGCTGCCTCAAAATGTTGCATTGTAATTAGTGTACTGTCAGTCCTTGCAGCTATCAGTGCAGCCTCATTGCAAACATTCGCAATGTCTGCTCCAGCAAATCCAGGTGTTAAAGCAGCAAGCCTCTGAGAATAATATGAAGGTTCTTTATCAAGTTTCAATTTATTCAGATAGATCCGAAAGATCTGATCACGGCCTTTAATATCAGGCTTGTCAATGGTAATTTGACGATCAAAGCGACCAGGCCTTAACAGAGCTTTGTCTAATATATCAGGCCTATTAGTACCAGCAAGTACAACCACCCCAGAAGTAGTTCCAAATCCATCCATTTCCACAAGCAATTGATTTAGGGTGCTTTCCCGCTCATCATTACCACCAGAAAATCCCCCACGTCCTCGTGCTCGACCAATTGCATCAATTTCATCAATAAAGACTATACTCGGTGCACACTGTCTTGCCTCTTGAAATAAGCTCCGAACTCTGGCCGGGCCAACTCCAACAAACATTTCCATGAAATCTGACCCAGAAATGGAAAGAAAAGGCACGTCAGACTCTCCAGCTGTTGCCTTGGCAAGTAGTGTCTTTCCGGTTCCTGGAGGACCTACAAGAAGGGCACCTTTTGGAATTTTGGCTCCCAGCTCCTCGTACTTTTTGGGGTTCTTTAAAAAATGCACAAACTCCATGATTTCCTGTTTTGCCTCATCACAACCAGCCACATCTTTGAAGAAGACCTGGATCAATATGTCCACATCATCAAACTG